CCGCAGACTTAGCAACTAAAGCTTGGTACAGAACATTTGACAGAAAAAAGCCCAATATCATTTAGGCCCGATCCAAGATTCGAACGCGAAATTAGAATTATTATAATCAGCAGTTGCCCTTACGATTACTTTGTTAGTGGGCAGTCAATAATCATTTCCAAAAGTAAGCTCCATAATAATTTAAAAATGTGATGAGATATGCAGTGCGATTGTGGAACTTTAGTGGAAACCGCTAACCGGTGGGAATCACTCACATTGTTGTGCCCAGTTATGGAATGTAACTTCCAGCCTCTCGTACAAACCGTTCTCCAAAAAGAGTTTAGTAACAATTGGTTATCGAGTGTCAGCCTATTACCGGTAAGCGAAGTTTAAGTCAGCTCGCCAATAATAGTAGTGACGCTCTCAAAGTCGATGGATGCGTGGTGGGGGCGGTCTATATTCAGTAGTGGATCTGGATGATTAAGGTTTTTTTTAATAGAATAAGTGTGACAAAGAAGCACACAGCCTACCTGATGATAAATGAATACTGGGGTCTATAGACATTCAAACCTCCCAACCACCAATAAGAATCAAAATGCAGATGTGTTATCACCCCTGAGAATTAAGATGGAATGAGTCGTTTCCAGTAAAAGGGTATCCGGTTCTCTTCACTCTCCATACGAAACACAGCAGCATTAAACAACTATTTTACTCTGGTACTTTTTACACTGTACGCGTGTAGTCGAGCCGACTCCTTCGTATTATAATCGTTTAATAGCTGCAGCGTAGCTCCACGATTAAATGAAGTTCTATAGTTTTACGATATCCAGCTATCCTCAATAAAGAATAAGGACGTTTCTAAGTATGTTGGAAGCTTTTATGAGTTTTCATGGTTAGCACAAGAAACACAAAAGCTGTTTTTTATTGAATAAGAGTGATAATTGAGCACACGGTTCACTCGATGGTAAGTGGATGATGTGGCCCGTAGACATCGACATTTATTCTCGACTACGAATCAAAATGCAGAAACTTTTTTAAGATAGTGATACTAAATATATCTTTTTTACTAAACAAAACGTTATATATTTTATTAAAATAGTTCAAAAATGCCTCGCGGCGTTGCCAGCTACTTCACCATGCGCCTAGCGACGATGCCTTGCATCTCGCGGCGGCGCGCTGCGCGGTACGAAACCACTGGCCTCTTCAAGCATCGTCGCGTCGAGTTGCGTCTCGGTGTGAAATGACCCTTAAGCTTTTATTTAACATGCTTTCTTCATATGCCTTTCCGGATTATAATTAGCAATCAATTTTTGTAGCACCTGCTGACCCTCTATAGACCTGAAAGGAGGATGGCCAAATTTCTATAGGAGCTGGACTTGATATTTTTTTCATGTCCCAAAACAAAATATAGTTAGATTGGTTTGTTTTTATGTTGTAAACAAAATCACGTTTAAAAATAATATCTAAATAGCCACGATTTTTTATAATAACGTCAACAATATTTTTAAGGCTGAATCAACAAATACCTTTTACTTTTTTTTTATTGGCCATTTTAAATATAACATTGGTAAAATTACAATCAATACAAATGACATAAGATTACATTAGATTATTAAAATTACAAATCAAAATACATTTAGATTATTTTTACATGTTAAGCAAGTCAGAAAATGAACATTTCATATATTCTTCTATATTATAGAAAGCGTGATTCATAAAGTATGTTTTTGTTACTTGTCGAAACAAAGTCTTGTTATTTCTAAAGGCAATTTATTGTACAGTTTGATTTTTAACGAAAAACCTTGGTTGGACGCTTTATCCGACTGTGACGTAGCCTAATAGTGTAGTTAAATTAATTATATTACTCAATAATAGAACATCTCTCAAAGCGCACCCTACGAGCACCATACTCCTAGAGTTCGATGTCAAATCAAAAAGGGCCGTCTGTCAAACCATCTCGTGAAGTTGACCGTTTCGACAACAAATTATGACCGATAATTCAATAAAAACTACACACACATGTATTGCACTAGCTTGCACAGTATGTAGTGTAAAAACAAGGATGACGTAATTATTATCACACGAAGTCTTTCCTAAAAGATTTCAAGGCTTTTTTGTAGTTTGAGCATTTTAATTCTAGCTGAGGAGAGTTAGTCGCTAGATACCTACTGTCTTTCAGTCTTCAATACTAAAGTTGCATATGCATTGAAAAATCGAGTAATGGTAGGTTACAGGAATAAATGAAGTGTAATGGTAGAATTTAGGAGTACTTTAATGAAACAAGTAACTTGGCACTGGCAATATTGTCGGCTGATGCCTGGCCCACCCAAGATACCACACAAGCGTCATAACATGTGCACAGCACCCAACTGTTCTTCTACCAACTAAACAATTGCAGCAATACTCTATTATAGCTTCCCTTCCAGACAAATTATTTTCAATTAATATATAAACATAATATACTTTTCTCAAAATGTGTCTGGATTTGATTTTGCCTCATACGTGAATTATTTCCACTTCCTCTCAAACGATACTCTGTTACATTAATGTTTTCTCTGCTTATTTCTGTGCTTATTATTCGATACCCTCCATGAAACCTGACATGTTCACTATAATAGGACTTTGCCTGTTGAATTTGATATGTTCCTAGGGCAAATAATATAACTTCACCATATTCTAGATGGGGGGAATATAATATTAGTATTGGAATGAGATGTAATACTAGTAAAATCAGATGTTTGTCTATTCATATTCGTACAGTTTATAAAATCAGGTAAATTATTATTTAATAATTAATTATTATTTATTAATTATTATGTAAATGTTCTCAAACTATTTTGAGAATTGAACAACATATCCCAATCAGTACTAAATGTGTGCTCTACACAAATACGAGCATTTTTAGGCAAGTAATATTTGTGTTTGCTAAGAGTTGTTGCTCTTAGAGGGTTAGAAATTCTATGCAAATCTGTGTTCTGGCTACCAGAAAAAACACAATGTGCTGCAGTGTTTGCCGCTCGTCTATACTGCGGCAAACTAATCACCCGAGGTATTTCGTCATCTTGCTTGTCGGTATTTGGTGGGCTTTGAGGTTCTTGGGGTTGAGGCTCTGGCTCCTGCTCCAGCTCTGGCTCTGTCTGCTGCATATTACGTGTTGCAACTCTCATGAGTCTCAGCCAACAGGGATGACAAACATGGTCTGTTGAAGTTGCTTGAAACAACCATACAGCCTTGTCTTAATATAAATGTTTTGGTTAATTATTATTAAACCGGAGCAAATAGAAACACTTTTAGAAAACAATACAAAATTGCAGTGATAAATTCACTATAACATTGATACCAAGACAAAACAAAAAAAAGTACAAAATAAAAAAGGTAATTATTACCTGCCGTGAGGCAATTCTATTTTCAAGCTCAACATGTATCGCTTGTTGCAACTGAGATGGATTCTCTCTCACAACAACATCACGTTTACGAGTCCTCAGAGAACTTCCACAAAGTATGCAAACATGCTTGTGGCCACGGGAAGATGAGGCACCAGGTTCATTAGGTAACCCGGAGTTGACATGCTGTATTGCCAATTGCTGACAGGCATCACATACGTAATCTTCTTCAGTAATCTAAAATAAGAATTAGACTTGTATGGTGATGTATGATTGATTAGAGTTGTATTATGATGATGTATTATGTTAGTGTAATAAAATAAGTAGGTATGTAAATACGTACTATTATTGAGAATTCCACTCGCAGATCTTAGGAATTACTCTTGTATCAAGCTCAAAAACGAGATGGTGGCGAAGTTTATCAATGCATATGTTACAATTAACACAAAGCAATCGCATACCTAGTTGTCTTTGCATGATGTTTCTCACAAATATCCAAGATGTGAAAAAATCAGTCCGTAAAATAATACCGAGGTCCAAACAACAGAAGGAAATAAGACATAACAATACTGGCGCGAATCGATGATCACAGAGTAAGCGATGACAAATGACGTTCCGTTGTACATATGTAATTGAACAAAACCTTTTTTTACGTGGTAGAGCCATGCTGCAGTTATATTAGTAGTATAGTTGTAGCACGAATGGGTCGGCTCGACCGGGGAAGGACCACGCTCTCACAGAATACCAGCGTGAAATAGTAGCTTAATGCTGCTGTATTTCGTATGGTGAGTGTAGAGAACCGGAGACCCTTGTTACTGGAAATGAGGCATTCCATCTCAGTCCTCGCGGGTGACAACGCATCTGCATTTTGATTTGTAATGGAAGATAGATGTAGATGTCTATGGGCCGCAGCAACCATTTACCATCAGGTGGACTGTGTGCTCGTTTGTCACCCTATTCTATAAAAAAAAAAAAAAAAAAAAAAAAAAAGCTTAGAATGACCTACATAATTATTTTTATGACAAAAATCTAGTACATAATAAATCAGCATAGTAGTTGATTTGATGTCTACATACTAATTGAATTTAATTAAAATAAACAACTATTCATAAAAACGTGAATAATTATAGTCTTTGAATACCAAGTCCTTTCACACACAAAATGAATCGTCATTAGGTGCGTTCTGAAACCAGTATTTGAAATAACTTTGAACAGTTACAAAAATAGAAATAAATGGATAACTTTTTTTTGTGGCTTCTTAGAGAGGTATTTCTTGTGTATTTTAAGACCTTAAACAATAAGGATATTTTACATAAATATTTCATATTGGGACGCTATCATTTCGTTGTCTGGTACGATTTGGCCATCCTCCTTTGGTGTGTTTGCTTATGTAACTTAGATAATTATGCTATAACAATAATAATAAGGCGTAGGGAATTGACGACCCCATCGCCCGCTGACGTAACAGTTAAGTGACAAAACTGCTACGTCAACGCAGTCAGTCAGCGCCTTGCGAGAGGTGTGAGCGCCGTGCCTCGGCAGAATTTAGGGTGCAGAGGCCCGTTTGTGCTTATGGCTACACACGAAACGGTACCGGGCCTGGGCGTCTCCCGTTAATGGACGCCCAAATAATGGATGATGGATAAGAAGATAGTGCGCAAAGGGCCGCTGCCTGGGGGTCGCCGGGGCGCGTCTGGAGCTGGCGCTGGACGCGGCAGCATGCGGGCCGCCAGCCGAGCGCGAGGAGCTGCACGGTCATCTAGCAGCCCTCCGCATCCATCATCCCCACCAGAAGGCTTGGTGTCGGCTGGGTCTTCTCGGACTCAGCAAGCGGCACCCGCCGCTGGTGGAGCACGTCGCATGCGTTGGTCACAAGCAATGAATGCAAACGCACTGCGGGCGTACTTTAGGGCAAAAGGGGAAGAAACTGGATGTTTGGCGTATCGGGCTAGGATGCATCGTCTTTTTGCTGAGCTGGAGCCATCTTTAACCGTCACAGAGCAAAACCTGGCAGACCGAGTTCGGTATATCTTGCGCTCAAATATATTTGATGTCGCCGAACTCGAACGGCTACGACGTGAGGCTGTTCCTCGTCGGATGAGAATGCTACGGCTGAGGATGCGGCGCCACAAATGGTAGAGCAACCCGCAAACGTGGATACCGCCGTGAATACCCCAGTTGTGGTTGATTCAAACGATGATGGAACAGTCGCCCAGGAACTGGAATTAGAGCATATGAGGAGTACATTGGAAGAGGCGATTGTGGAAACGCGCAGTACGCCTCTCGAAAATCGACCGCGACTTCCCCGCATAGCCTTAAGCAAGTGGAATCGGGCTGTCGTGAGGACTCTGAACCCAATGCTGGTGACCTATTTGGAAGCCAGCCGGGACCTTTGCAAGACGGACTCAATTTTTTTGGCGCCGCGCTGGCAGTCTGCCGTATCATAGGCGCCAAGGTTTCCACGGCTGGACGCGATACTGGCCATAGTAACGCTATCCCAGCATGGAGAAGAAGAATTGAGGAACGTATCGCAAAGGCTAGAGCTCTCATCGGCAGACTGATATGCTTCAGATCAGGCAATAACAGGCCAAGAATTAAGCGCACCGTCAGGATGGCGTTTGCTGGGACAAATGTCAGTTTGTCCCAGCCGGATACAATGCAAAAACTGACGGAGCGCATAGATGATCTGAAGCAGAGAATCGCTACTTGGGGAAAGCGGATTCGGCAATATACCGAGAGGTCGACACGGTTCAACCAGAATCGTCTCTTCCAGAGTGATCAGAAGAGGCTCTATGAATCATTGGAGCGACCAATGGTAAGTGGAACGGGTCCAGCACCGAATCAGGCCGACACTGTAGCATTCTGGCGCGGTCTGTGGTCAGAGCCCGTAAACCACAGCGAGGGCCCTTGGACGGAAGTTGTGGCGAGTCAGTGTGCGGGTATTATGCCGATGGACCCCGTCATCATAACGCCGGATGACGTAGCTGAGGCGGTCCGTAGGGCCCCGAACTGGAAAAGTCCGGGGCTTGACGGACTGCATCACTACTGGCTGAAGGGGTTCATGGTGCGTCACTCTGTGCTCGCCCGACAGTTTCAAGAGGCTCTCAACCAGAAGTCGCTCCCAAGCCTCTTCACTACTGAGATCACTCATTTGGTTCCTAGAGACCAGGGTACCACAGACCCGAGCAAATACCGCCCCATTACGTGTCTACCGACCATATACAAGACACTAACATCCATTTTGAGCGCGAGAATCACTTTTCACCTGGACTCAAATCAGGTGATGTTGCGCGCTCAAAATGGATGTCGGGGCGGTGGTCGTGGAACAAAGGAACCACTCCTCATTGACGCGGTCATTGGCAAAGTGGTGAAACGCAACCGTCGGAACTTCTCCGCCGCCTGGATAGACTACAGAAAGGCATTCGACTCGGTAAGATAGACTGTACAGTTAGAGACTTCCTCGAGCAGTGTATGGGGCAGTGGAGTACGATCCTTTGTCATCTGGGCGAGCAGATGATGGCTGCGGAGAACCACATAAGGATAAGAAGGGGTATCTTCCAGGGCGATTGTCTGAGTCCAATCTGGTTCTGCCTCTCTCTGAATCCTCTCAGTACCTTACTGGATGGCTCCGGGAGGAGATTTCAGCTACGGAAAGGAGGGACAAAAGTGACCCACCTTTTCTATATGGATGACCTCAAGTTATTCGCCTCCAGTCGCTCCCATCTTATGGAACTGCTAAACATCACTTGTGAATTTAGCAGTTCCATTGGAATGGAGCTGGGGACGGATAAGTGTGCGGTCCTCCATGTTGAAAGGGGAAGGGTTGCTAACTCTGAGGGCATAGACTTGTCTATGCCCGTCAACTTAAGGACCCTTTCCGAGGCTGAAACATACCGATACCTGGGTATGACACAGAACATCGGTATCGATAAGGCTGGTATGAAACAGTCAGTTTGCGACGTGTTTTATGCACGCTTGACCAAAGTGCTTAACAGCCTTTTGTCCGGTGTGAATAAGACACACGCATATAACGGTTGGGTCATGCCTGTCCTCATGTATACCTTTGGCATACTCAGGTGGACCCAGACTGAACTTAACGCCCTGGATAGAAAAATCCGCACTACCATGACGTCCCATAGGATGCGTCATCCGAGATCGTCGGTAATGAGGCTGTACTTGCCGCGGAAGCATGGTGGTCGTGGCTTCTTGAGCGCGCTCACCATACATAATCGCGAAGTGTGCAGTCTCCTTGATTACTTCCTGGCGAGATCGGATGATCCATTCTATAAGGATGTCATTTCTTGTGATAAAGGACTTACCCCTCTATCCTTAGCCAATGAGCAATGGCAAACCCGGCAGTGCAGAGCATTTCCGACCGGGAGACCGTATGGAAGGAGAAGGAGCTCCACGGGAGGTTCTACAAGGCTCTACATGAGACTTTCGTAGACACAGTAGCCTCCCTCCACTGGCTACGCTTTGGTGATCTCTTCGGGGAAACCGAGGGTTTTGTCTGTGCAATACAGGATCAGGTTATTAAGACCAACAACTACAGGAGATACATCCTAAAGGATGGCACCGTCGACATCTGTCGAGCTTGTCGTCATCCCGGTGAGTCACTTAGGTATGTTATCTCCGGTTGTTCGGCGCTTTCTAACTCTGAGTACTTGCACAGGCACAACCTAGTAGCCAAAATTCTACACCAGGAGCTCGCTCTGAAATACGGTCTCGTGGACCGGAAATTGCTGTATTACAAGTACTTGCCGGAAGCCGTGCTCGAAAATGACCGCGCCAGGCTCTACTGGGACCGGGCCATCATCACAGACAGGACTATTCTTGCGAATAAGCCTGATATTGTGCTGATGGACCGGGCACAGTCAAGGATATTTTTGGTCGACATTACCATTCCGTATGACGAGAACCTCGTGAAAGCCGAAACAGACAAGCAAACAAAATATCTGGACCTGGCTCACGAGGTGACCGACATGTGGGGTGGTTTGCCGACCGAAATTATTCCAGTAGTCGTCTCTGCAAACGGGCTAAATCCAGTCAGCCTCTCGGGTCATCTGAGGCGACTGGGACTACGTGGCGTACCGCTCCGGGCTCAAATGCAGAAGGCGGTGCTCCTCGATACCGCCCGCATCGTCCGCCGGTTTCTTTCTCTTTCCCCCTAACCCTCGGCCGTTTGGTCTTCCCTGCCGAGGGCCCCCATCTGGTTGGGCTTTTATTTATTTAAGTATTTTTATATTTATTTTATGTTATTGATATTTATGTATATTTATCTTTTCATTCTCATTTATAATTATATATTTATAGAACCCAACCAGATGAGAAAACTGTATAGATACCCCATAATAATAATAATAATAATAATAATGGCGTAGGGAATTGACGACCCCATCGCCCGCCGACGTAACAGTTAAGTGACAAAACTGCTACGTCAACGCAGTCAGTCAGCGCCTTGCGAGAGGTGTGAGCGCCGTGCCTCGGCAGAATTCAGGGTGCAAAGGCCCGTTTATGCTTATGGCCGTCCACGATACGGTGCCGGACCTGGGCGTCTCCCGTTAATGGACGCCCATATTATGGATGATGGAGAAAAAGATAGTGCGCAAAGGGCCGCTACTTGGAGGTCGCCAGGGCTCGTCTGGAGCTGGCGCTGGACGCGACAGCATGCGGGCCGCCAGCCGAGCGCGGGGTGTTGCAAGACCACCTAGCAGCCCCCCGCATCCATCATCCCCACCAGAAGGCTTGGTGTCGGCTGGGTCTTCTCGGACTCAGCAAGCGGCACCCGCCGCTGGTGAAGCACGTCGCATGCGTTGGTCTAAATCAATGAATGAAAACGCACTGCAGGCGTATTTTAGGGCAAAAGGGGAAGAAACTGGATGTTTGGCGTATCGGGCTCGGATGCATCGCTTTTTTGCAGAGCTGTAGCCATCTCTATCCTTCACTGAGCAAAACCTGGCAGACCGAGTTAGGTGCATCCTGCGCTCCAACATATTTGGTGACGCCGAACTCGAGCGACTACGACGTGAGGCTATTCCTTCATCGAATGGAAATGCTACGGCTGGGAATGTGGCGCCCCTAGATGCGCAACAAACTGCATATGTGGATGCTGCCGTCAACATTCCATTTGTGGCTAATTCAGACGATGATGAAATAGTCTCCCACGAACTAGAGAAAATGAGGAGCATATTGGAAGAGTCGATGCTGGAAACCGGGCCATCATCACAGACAGGACTATTCTTGCGAATAAGCCTGATATTGTGCTGATGGACCGGGCACAGTCAAGGATATTTTTGGTCGACGTTACCATTCCGTATGACGAGAACCTCGTGAAAGCCGAAACAGACAAGCAAACAAAATATCTGGACCTGGCTCACGAGGTGACTGACATGTGGGGTGGTCTGCCGACCGAAATTATTCCTGTAGTCGTCTCTGCAAACGGGCTAATCCCAGTCAGCCTCTCGGGTCATCTGAGGCGACTGGGACTACGTGGCGGACCGCTCCGGGCTCAAATGCAGAAGGCGGTGCTCCTCGATACCGCCCGCATCGTCCGCCGGTTTCTTTCCCTTTCCCCCCTAACCCTCGGCCGTTTGGTCTCCCCTGCCGAGGGCTTCCATCTGGTTGGGCTTTTATTTATTTATGTATTTTTGTATTTATTTTATTTTATTGATATTTATGTATATTTATATTTTCATTTTTAATTATAATTATATATTTATACATCCCAACCAGATGAGAAAACTATATAGATAACCCACTTAATTATAATAATATTATTATTATAGCAATTAATAATATTATTATTATAATAGCAGAAATTATTCCTGTAGTCGTCTCTGCGAATGGGCTAATCCCAGTCAGCCTCTCGGGTCATCTGAGGCGACTGGGACTCCGTGACGGACCGCTCCGGGCTCAAATGCAAAAGGCGGTGCTCCTCGATACCGCCCGCATCGTCCGCCGGTTTCTTTCCCTTTCCTCCTAACCCTCGGCCGTTTGGTCTCCCCTGCCGAGGGCTTCCATCTGGTTGGGCTTTTATTTATTTATGTATTTTTATATTTATTTTATTTTATTGATATTTATGTATATTTATCGTTTCATTTTAATTTATAATTATATATTTATATAACCCAACCAGATGAGAAAACTATATTGATACCCCAAATAATAATAATAACTCTTTTTATTTCAGACATAGATCCATATAAGTTGTTAGTAATTGTGCACCTTAAACACTAATGTTAGTTTCTTAAATATTAGTAGTCACTTTTCAACAAATCGTTCCAATAATCTACCATATGCCCGTCATATCTTTCGGCGAACACGTTCATTATACTGTTGTGGCTGCTACGTATTCTGCTCAACAGCGAGTACACTCTTTTACGCATTATTGCGAAGAAGTCATCTGGTCGTGCTTCTGCAAACATCCTTGATGCGCTACAAAAGCAAAGCAGTCCCAACAGGGCCCTGAAAATGTTATTATATAAAACACGAAAGTCACTGTAAGCGCACTTTGTATACGTTGTCCATAAGCTGCATGCGTAAAAATATTGAAAGTAGGTTTTGAAGAGTATAATCTTAACTTCCTTGCTGCACCGCGCAAACATACGAATCAACATATTTCCACGGATCGACAGTGCCCTTCGCTCCCTCTCGATGTCCATATCATCTTTGCCATTTTCAGTTATGTAGTGGCCTAGATATTTAAACTCTTTTACTCTTCCTAGGGCAGTGCCATTAAGCAAAATAGGAGGCACATTCTTTGGACACTTTTTTCCAGCTCTAAATACCATAAACTGACTTTTCTTAACATTTTATACTAAACCATGTCTAACAGCATAATCCTCACAAACGCGTAACAATTTTCTAAGAGCACTAACAGACGGGGCCAGCAGCACCATGTCATCGGCATAACTTAAATTGTTTAAACAAACTCCATCTACATAGCATCCGATATACATGCTGCTCAATTCACCGATTAGGTCATTAATGTACAGGCTGAATAGGTTCGGTGAGCTTAAACCCCCTTGTCTCACCCCATATTCTAGCCTATACGGATCGGAAAACGTATCTGCCCATTTGACGTTATTTATTTGATTGTTGTACCAATACTCGAACATGGCAACAAGTTCAGCAGGTATTCCGGTTTTCCTCAACTTACTCCACAATATTTCGTAGAAAACCATATCGAAGGCTTTTGACAAGTCTAGAAAACAGGCAAACACAGGTGTTTTTCTGTCCGTGTAGTACTCAACGGTTCGCTTAAGGGCCAAGATCTCTCTTGAAGGCTCTCTGTTGAAAGCCCAGTCCGGAAACCAAATTAAGCATCGTGTAGCTGCAAATATTTTCTTAAATACGTATCAAGTAGACCGTCCAGTACCTTTGCTAATAATGTAGCCAACGATATAGGTCTATAGTTGGTTATCTCCGAGATGTCCTCAGTTTTATTTTTTAGAATTGGCACCACAATAGTCCTCATTATATTATTAGGTAGATATCTATGTCGTAAGCACAGTGAAAAGAACAAACCCAAAACCCTAGGAAGATGGCCACCAGCATGTTGCAAATGCTCAATGCTAAGATCATCATACCCAGGAGACCTCCCCCTTTTCATGTTCATAATCACTGCACCCACCTGTTTAGTTGTGAAGCGAATCGGGTTTGTGTCGAAGGGGACTTCCGTGTAGGTTTTACCATTTATGGGCCCTAAAGGAGAGTCAACATTAAAATATTGCCTAAAATTTTCAACTATCTTTTTTTTATCATTAGTGTTCCCAATGCTCACAGGAAGACCAGGCCGCACATTTAATTTATTTGTGGATTTCCAAAAATTTTTTGAAGTCCTTATTACAATGTTGAGTAGCTATTATGTCCATTTTAATTTGTTCTTCCCGATTCTGGCACCATTTTAACTTAGATTTAAATCGACGTTTGCTCTCACACATACAATCATACATAATGCCCCCTCCTTTAGGTTTGCCACATTGTAACCAATTATCAAATTGAATCCTGGACTCCCTATGAGCATCTTTTACATATTTATTCCATCCGACTACAGTTTTCTTTTTGGCAGTAATGGCACTACCTTCATATGTCATAATTGCGGCCTCGCTTAAGGTATTTACCATAGCCTCATACATCTTATCTAAAGTCTCTTTGTGATCTATACATGTACACTTACGATCACAACAATGGCAAAACTCTACCGGTAAATGCATATCTCTAAATTTCGAATTACAATATTCTTTATATTTGAGTATTTGATGTGGTTTTCTGTTGCCCCATATTATTTTACAATTCTTAACAATATTTTGAGGTATTTTAGACCTCACAATTGCTAGGTCACAAGTAATACTTAAAGGGAAATGATCCGACCAATAAATACTGTGTAAAATTTCAACACTGCGCACAGTTTGGTAAGCGGCAGTGGTAGTCACACACTGATCGAGCCATCTTCTACTACCGTGTGCATCACTTACATATGTAAAAGAGTCAGAGGATATACCGAGTTTGTCCATATCAGCGCACTGCCAACACTGATCCGTACAAAACTTTAATAATTCATCACCAAATAGCTCACCTGGGTGAGCATTGAAATCACCAACAATGTAAACTGTTTCTATCGCACAACTTTCATTGATAGCACTAATTCTACCTAAACACTTCGTGAACTCAATTAGGTTTTCATTTTTATCCACTGGCATATAAATACTGAATACCAATATGGATCGGTCACCACTAACGGCCATTATTGCACATACATCTAGGATTTTCACAGTCGATCACTGTCACTGAAGTAAACGTCACCTTACGCCACAAGATCGCAACACCCCCATACGGCCTGCCCCGAAGCAAGCCAGCAGATATATTAACTGCCGACGTGCCGGTGCCCGCGAACTCATCGCTAATAGTATTCAAAAAAGGAAGATCATCACACAGCAACCACGTCTCTTGCAGCGCTACAATGTCAGCTGACTGACACAGTGACTTCACACATGCCTCAGAACGCTTAATATTCTTGCAGTTATAAGTTATTAATTTGAAATTATTATCCATTATATTCTTTAAACGGTATTAACATAAAAACCTATTTCTCTTTCTTATTCCTTAAATGAACGAATCTTCTGAAAGAGATTCCATCCGGCCACAAATTATCATCCAAAAAAGTGTTGACTCTATGTTTAGACACCAATAATTTGTAACTATTGTACCCTTTATCCTGTTTCATATCAATCTTTTGTAAGCTTACAATTTCATTAGTTTTTTCTCGTATATAATTAATAATATCCGTTTCGGCGGAGTCTTTATGGACATTAGAGATAAACAATGGAACTTTTATATCCGCAGCTTTAAACTTTTCAGTGGATTGAACACTTGCTTTCCCTTTTTGCCCTATAAAACGATTTTTATATCTTTTCCTCTGTACCATAATCCACTCGTCTGCTGGTCAATCTATTTTCCATTCTCTTTCATTACGAACCATTTCTGCCATACTAGGTTTGTTTACATTCGGTAATGTGCATTCCTTTGCATTAGCCCCTACTACCGTACTCACTGGTGGCGATCTCAGCGGCGGCGGTGGCGAAACACGTGTAGGTTTAGCGCCTCGAGACGCTATATTAGACAGCACCGGCACCGTCGTCGCAGCCTCAGTGTTCGAGTGAGTTTGTATCGTAGGGGCGCTGGGTTCGTTGTTACTGCATTCATATTGTTCATTATACGATAGCGCAGTCAGTCCGCTATCTAACAGATACCTTCCAATATTTTGGCTAACGCTTACATCCAAAAGATTTGTCGGGGCACAAATTTGTTTCTTTAATTCTTGTACACGATTATTAACTTCTTCTGTGGTAGCATAGGATTCTTTTATGTAAGAAATTTCCGCTTTTGTATATCCTTGACCAATTTTGTTACATCTATATGATCGTAGCTAACAGAGGGTAATTTATTCAAGTCCCTAGCAACAAATATAAGAAATAATTCTGGATCATTGCCCTTAAAAAATGCAATCATATCTTCTATATCTCGAACATGTTTTCCAGAGCCCTTTCTCATACGTCGACTCGTTGGTGACGATGTCACCGAAGAAAATAATAAAATTTTCGCCTTCTCAATATCTTCCGCAGAAAAATCAGTTGAACATATTCTCACAATTTGATCTTCAGTTAACACCTCTAACTTATTCTGCAAGTATGCTAGCACTTCGTTTATAATAATATTATACTCCTTACACTTCACGGCATCCATTTTTGATCTCGTGCGCAACCTGTCGATCGCGCGTTCGCGACGCAACTGATATACAGAATGGGGTCCCACATATATGCAATAAATGAAACCACAAGTAATACTAGTCCGTAGAAGTGTAGAAAAATTGAATATTAAATTAAAACCCGTAAAATAAAAAAGTGAAATTTTCAAACAAAATAAATATTAAAATAAATTCAGTAAAAGTGAACACTATGTTTAGACAACGTACCTTGACCCCTTGGAAGAGTGACAACGTTGCACGCGGGTGGCATGGCGATTGTCGGCACGGCCTATGGTTCTTTAGACAATGTGCGACGAAATAAAAACTTACTCACTAAACTGTTTAGATATTTTACCGCCACTTTTTTATTTCGCGAAAATGGAACTGAACGAAATAAATATTATTGCATATTAGTAGCAAAATTTAATGAAACCCTAAATTTTAAAATTTTCAAAATGTCCGCCACGTTCTTGAATGCACAAGTTACATCGCCGCATAATGTTGTCCTGAAGCCTGCTCAACAAATTTCGTTCAGGATCCAGAGCCAGGGCTTTTAATTTGTTAAAGGTGCCGCCTTTATAATACGATTGCGCAGTTCATCTTCGGTTTCGGATATCTTTGAGTACACTTCATTTTTAATAAAGCCCCATAAAAAGAAGTCTAGAGGAGTGAGGTCGGGCGATCGAGCTGACCACCTGCGAGGGCCATAGCGCCCTAGCCATTGTTCGCCGAACATGGTGTTAAGCCGCTCTCTCGCGAGGAGTACGGAGTGTGGAGGAGCTCCATCTAACTGGAACCATACCCTTTGTAAGCTGCCACAGACAATCCTTCTAAATATTCTGTTATTGGGCCGTTAAGAATATTGAGAAATTTCTGTGCATTCAGGCTTCCGTCAATAAAAATAGGGCCGATTATTTGATCTCCGTGAATGCCTGCTCCAAACATTAATGGAAAATCGGTATTGATGAGCTGATTCCCTAAATAAATGGGGATTCGTATGGCTCCAGTAACGCATGGATTGTCGGTTCCATATGCCGTTTCGAGTAAACGTGCTTTCATCTGTCTGACCCCATTCTGTATATGATAATATGGCACAATAGAGCTGATCTGATGATGAACTTGAATGTTAGCCCTAGCAAGGCCTATAAAAAAATTTCTAAATAGATTTTATTAATTTATTTAATTAATGTAATTAGATAAGTTAATTATTGTGGCTGTAGCACATATTGAATTAAATTTTATTTATCACTTTTTAATTAT